TTGTCTTTTCTTATTTTTCTTTTCTTTTTCAGGTTACAACTGTTTTGATTCTTCAAAGAATTATAGTGTCTGCGTGTGTTAACTTCATAGTACATTTTTTTAATGACTTTTACATCTCTGCTAATTATCACATCATTTCTTTCTGATAAATAAATGCGGAATCCTTTTGCATTCTGAGCGTAGCCTACAAAAATGCCTTCTTGGACTTTTGATGTGAATTTTCCTTTTCTGTGTTTGTTTAGTACAAAAGTTTTGCTCTCAAATATATGTAGGTGACTACCAGATGGTGTTCTTCCGGTCCATTTTTCATATGGTATACATTCTTTTATAGCTTTTGCTGGGCTTCTGTTTATAAGATAATTTGCTGTGTAGATAGCTTCGGCCCATAGTTTTTCAGGTATATTTGCTTCCAACATTAGACACCGGACTTTGTCGAATAATGATCTGTTTTTTCTTTTACTTTGCCCATTTTGTTGTGGTATGTATGGTACATTAATCTCCTTTCAATACCGTGCTTTTTAAGGTACGTATCAAATTCTTTGTTGCAGTATTCTTTGCCATTGTCTGACTGTAAGTTTTTTATTTTCTTCTGTAAGTAATTTTCAACTTTATTTTTATACTCTTTGAATTTTTCGAAAACATCACTTTTATTTGTAATGAAATATATGCAGCAGCACTTGGTGTAATCGTTTATGAATGTGACAAAGTATCTGGATCCTGCTAGAGTTTCTGTTTACCTCGGTCCACAGACATCACTGTGTATAATTTCTAGCGGCTCCTTTGATCTAGGCTCTTCAATAGTTACAAATAGTAGTTGTATCATTGTTCCCTTTATACAGGTTTCATAGATAGGTAATTTTTCATTATTCAGTTTTATACCTTTAATTAGATTATTTTTCGGTATTAGTTTCATGTCATTTTCATTTAAGTGGCAAAGTTTTTTATGCCATGACAGTAAGTCATTCGATGCAGTACAGGCAAATATATTTTCTTTTTCACATTTTATATAGTATAATCCATTTTCCTTTTTAGCTGTCAGCACTGTGCATTCTTTATCATCTTTAAAAGTTTCATTTTCATAAAAATGACTTTATATCCTTTTCCGATAATTTTGGCTACTGATAACAAATTTGTTGACAGGTTAACATGTAATGTGTCATTTTGGTTGAATTTTTCATTTATGTTAAGACATACTTTGTCTTTTCCTTCCATTTTGGTCGTCTGATTTTCAGATGCTAATCTTAATGATCCTGTTTCTGGCTCAATACAATCAAATTTTTCTTCTTGTCCACACATATGTGAAGTGCAGCCGCTGTCTAGACACCAGGTATTACTTGTAGTAACTGATAGACATGTAGACATGATGCTGAAGTTCTTTTCTTACTTATATTCCTTTTTATTTTGTACTTTATTTTTGCTCTAGCATTTTTCCGTAGTATGTCTCTTCTTTTTACATTTTTGGTAGTATTTGTTGCTCTTTTTCTTTGTATAAAATACTTCACCTCTTTCATTGTTTGCATTTTTCTGGCTTCATGTTCTTCTAATATTTTTATTTTCAATTCTTCTGGAGAAGACAAAACATCTCTCGACTCTATGGCTATTCGAAAATTTTCGAAGTTTGTAGGCAAATTGTAAAGCATCAACAGTTCTGGGTATATTTTTACTTCCATATCAGCCAATTTGTCGACTATATCCATAAAATTATTGAGATAATCGCGGACATACATCATCTTTGTGGTTAGTTTTTTCAATACTAATTGTTTCAATAGTGTTGCTTTCTTGGCTAGGCCTGAACTTTGGTAAATATTTTTGAGCTTATCCCACACATCCTTTTATTTGTTTCGGAGAATGAAATTAGCAGTAGAAATTCCGATCTTGCCATGAGATCGCCCTTTTTGAAATCCTCTTTTTCCGCCGCGGTTGACGTTTCTGTGGCCTTTTTCTCGCCATATATGTAGCTCCATAGTTCGTTTTTTATGAATACGACTTGGGCTTGTAGGCAGCAAGTATCGTAGTTCTTTTTGTTTAAAACTTCGATGCGGTAGGACGCCGATGAAAACATTTTCGCAATGAGGCCGTATGTAACCTCGCAAAAACACAATAACCACGCTCTGCTACCATTTGTTGGAAGGTTTTACGAAATGATAATATGGATTCACAAATTACACTGTGTTTTATTCCTATATTGAAAGAGAATTATACAACCACTTCGGGAACGCAAGCAAAGGTACAAGAACGTCAGTTTAACAAGTAAAAAAATGGCGGGGCTGATGACATTAGATAGAGAGATGACGAGTCAAAAAGAGTTGTGCTCATCAACAGTCAATAATTGTATTAAATATGGGAAATATTTTTCTTATTTATATATTATTGTTAATTAAGGAAGATAGTAATTAATAACGTTACTTCATTATTTATTCATTAAAAATGACGATTAAATGACAATATATTTATAATAATATTTTATGATAAATGTTATGTTTATTTTACGTCGTTTTGTAGTACACTGACAAAAAATGACCTTAAATCATCGTCATAATGACGTCATCTTGCTACTTGGAATACATCGATTTTATACGAATAATCTTAGTATATTCGGTATGATCATAGTACATTCAGTATAAATATAGAATATTCGTATAATATCATGTGCTGCTGGGATATATTTGGTATAGTCTGAAGATGAGCTTAAGAATATATGAGAGATATATCATTAAGATGTCATATGAATGTTTTCTAGTATATTAGGCAATAGTACGTATGACTACAGTACTTTCAGTATGAGTGTAGAATATTCGAATGATATCATGCTATTAGGGTACAAACAATTTAACTCTTTTATATAGTAACTCCTTCAACCGGAACTTTTTCCCGGTCAAGTATATGCGAATAATATTTATTCCTGTTCTTAATATCTACTTCATTAGGCGCTAAAGAACAATATCAAATCTGATATGAAGAAAAAAAAACATATAAAAAGAAAAACATAGAAAAGAAAAGAGAAACATATAAGTCTCGTATATAATTTAATAATGCTTTATTAAATCATATATGATAATTAATTTTATATGATATATGAATTATATGATATAATTCTAAAGTGTTTATCTTATATGATTTAAAAAATCATTATTAAATTATATAGGAGACTATAAAGAAGGATATAATTATAAAATAATTTTAATAATGATATGATATAATCATCATTAATATTTTTATTTAAACTTATACATATCAAACATTTATAAATTTTATATAATTTCGTATACGTTACATATGCTTTTAAATGTATATTTATTTGAAAAATTTTATATATAATAAAAAGTATACAAACAATGCGCTAAATTATATAGTTATATTTTCTATTTCTTCTGTGCTATCAGTTCTTTTCATTTAAAAATATTTTTGCATTAACTATTATCTCAAACTATTATTCATATAATAAATATATTTTTTTACTGACGCTTTCTACTTTTATTACATTTACATTTTTACATTGTGTGTCATTAAAATAACAGTTTAATTTGAAAAAAAATGTTACAATATTTTACAATTCAATAATAGAGAAAATAATTAAACGAAAAATTTTTTAAATAAAAAAAGCATTTTGCTTTAAGTTGCTATGTACATAGAACATATTCCTTATATGCATATTATTATACAACTACATTTAAGGTTAAAAAAATAAGAAGTGTGTGTGTGTGTGTGTGTGTGTGTGTGTGTATATATACATAGAGATATTACACTAGCATATCTCACGCATGCACGCACGCAAGTATTGTATGTATATGTATGTTGAACTTTTATACATTATATACAAGCTTTCGCACACAGCCGTATCAGTTGGCGACAACATTGTCGCCATCAATAAAATAGTAATTGTATTATTTAATCTATAGCATTGTTTAGCAGGATTTAGTATTACTCTTCTTAAACTTTTGTATAATTTAGCAAAATCAAGTAGAATTTTTTTCAAATTATATACATATTTTTGTATTAGAGTATATTTTATTTATATTTTTCATTATCTATCGTATATGAATCCTTAATCAAGGATGTTAGATTCTATATTTTTCTGATTTAAGGCTCGGTTGTCTCTGCAGTTATATTGAATTATGACGTCGAGGCGAGAAATGAAATGTAAAAAGTTTCTTGCGTCATAGCTTTGTCTTTCGTTTAAAAACATATTTTCGTATTCTTTAAACTTGTAAAAAATACCAGAAAGTAAGATATCTGTTCAATAAATCACATAGAAGTGTAAAATAAATCTTGAAATAATGGTACACTGCTTAGCTATCAGAAATTACCAGATCACTAGATCTAGTTGTTTCTAATAGCTGAGCAGTGATCATTATTTCAAGATTTATTTTACACTTTTACGTGATTTATTGGACAGATATCTTATTTTCTGATTATTTTTATAAGTTTAAAGAATACGAAAATATGTTTTTAAGGGAAAAATACGAGATAAAGTTATACGACGTAAGAAACTTTTTACATGTCATTTCTCGCCTCTGACGTCACACAACCTATATCGCACCGCGAGAGAACCGAGCCTTAAGAAACACTATAATTTTATTATATTCTATTTTTTATTCAAATATTTCGTTTATGATTGATAAATAAATACTATAAATTTCTATGTTAAACGTGTTTAAATCGACAATATATTATATATGTAAAACCTAGAAATCATTGAGAAAAATAAAAATATCAAATATTAAAAGTTAAAGTTTTCATATTTGATAAAAAGTAGATTGATTTGTGAACGAGCGACATCATATTGGTCCTACTTGGTTACTAAAGCTCTTATGCGGATCTTATATTATCAATACTGATCAGCAATATTAAATAACATAATATTTCAGCTTAATTTTATATATATAACCTAATCTAAAGAAAAAAAAAACAAATATATCAAAAAGCTCTTAGAAAAGTAATATAAGTATATATACTGTGACAAATCTATTATTGTGGAATTATATTGAAATACTAACGTGTTTTTTTCACACAATCAATATTATTATCAGTATTCTTATTATATAGTGATGCTGATACTCAATCTGGATCATTATTATTTTACATTAATCAATATTAAATGCATCAATATTAATTATGCATAATCAATAATATTGTTAATACATTGCGTTTCATTAATGGAAATCCTTTTTAAGTGCAGAAGTGATTCATGTTATCTCTAGGCTCCCTACCTCTTTTCAGGCAAGGAAGATACATATTTGACCATCTACACCTATCTGCACATAAGAAAAGCTTGCTTGATGAAACATAATGTACCGACAGTTATTGATTATGTAAGGTCCGCATTATATAATAAAGGCTGCAGTCTATTAAAAGATATATAAATCATATTAAGTACGCCTCCTGTAATTCTGATAATTTCAGTTTTCTTCAATTAAAAAAGAAAACATTGATTTATAGAATCATTTCAATTAAACAAACTTTTCATTTTGATACATGCACGCTCGCGCACAGTCACATTTTCTTTCATTTTAGTTTAATAAATCCATAGTCGCTTTGAAATAATTCAATTCGACGAATGCGGTAATCATGATAATTCTTCTTATTTCTTCTTTTCCTGTTTTTTTCTCTGACTACGATATTTTGGTCGATTAAGACCCCAATCGATCAAACTACTATTCGCTTGTCTTGTTCTGATTGACGTCGATAGCGCATTATCAACATGATCAGTTCGTTCGGCCGATTGTTGCCCCTCGTAGTCACTCATAAAAGTATAGTGCGGATGATAATACTGTTTTAGACTTGATTCGTCACGAAAACTCTGCATTGCACACCATACGTGGCATAATAAACATGGAAATCTCGATAACCAATATTCTGTAAATTTATTAGGAATTTCGCCGAGACTCTCCTGCGCTTCTGGGCTTAATTCTCTGTAGTGATGCTTCTAAAAACATTAAATCAGTACGAAACAAATTGTTACATTCTCTTGATTATTTTAAAAATATTACACCAATCGAACAAAACATATTAATTTAATTGTGTCTTCTAATTTTTATTCTTTTTTAGATTTTTAAATAATTTCATCTATTTTGTATTTATCTCAGTACATTTATTAAATATTTATAATAATCTTACTATACGACTTTTTTGAAATATATCAACAAAGAATACTACGTAATTTTTATAAAAAAAAAAAAATAATAATCTTAAACGAATCTAAAAATAATTCTTTTACAAAAATAAAAAATATCACTCTTTTAGCAAGCATCTATTTCTTTTTCTATAGCATCCAGGATAATTTTTTACATCTTATAAATATCATTTTATCACTAATCCTAATTACAAATCAATAATTTTATTAAAAAAATAATGAATTTCTTATGTTTGAGATGTTTTTATCGATTTGATTCCTTTTTACATTTTTTTCAAATAATAAAAAATTATAGTTTTAATAAGATCCTAATTGTATTATCCTTTACATATGTTATTTCAGATATATAAAATTTAAAACAAAAATATTGATATAAAAAAGAAAATAAAATAATTTATCGCATTTTTTCAATTTTAATATTAATTTTAACATTAATTTTAACAAAACGCATGATAAAAATAATGAAACATATTGATTATGCTTATATTTATACTCGTATTTTCACAGACCTTGTTCCGTAAAGCTCTGAGGAGATCTCTTACACTCTCGCCTCGATAACTTCTGTATTTTCTTAAATCTGTTGCAACTTCCAAATCTATATACAATCTCCAATCGTCTCCCGTCACATGCTCACCACAAGTTTCCAACGCTATCAAAGCTGGACTGTCAGATTGATCTTTCTCCACTCGATCACTGACATCCTATTACATAAATTAATAAAATAAAGAAGATTTACATCTCTCTTTATTGGTATGTTATAATAAAAAATAACTATCAAAAACATTAAATTTTACAAAATCTAACTTGGAAATATATTTTGAATTACATTTTCTTTAATTTTTTTTCTCTCGAAAAAGAGCAATGCATTTAAGAAAAATAGATTTTAAAAATACTAAATTTGATTCTATATACCTGAAAAAATCCCAGAATTTCTGCTAAATTCCAGAAGATCGGATAATTACAGATTGCCGAAGCTGGTGGCCTGTCAATAGGATTACTGCATATCATTGCTTTGATAAGTAGCAATGCTAATTTTTTATCACTTGAAGATATTCCATGGAGTGCTGTCAAATTGCTCTCGCCACCTATAAATACAACGAAGTAGATATACAGTAAGTATAATTAGTACAGTAAGTATAATTCTTTTGAAGAAAAAGAAAGAATATAGATCAATACATATGCAATAAATGACTTATCATAAATGATTGAGAAATAAATTGTCATTGACTTTATGATGTTACACGTTGATAAGTAGACAAATAAATATATATTCAATTACAACAATAAACTATAATAATTACCGTCTCCATTGCATATTCGTTATTATATTTTTTTGATTTATAGAACATATTAAACAGTTAAAGTATAAAAAATAATAAATGAATCAAAGCTGTAAAAACTGTACAAAAATTTAATTTCAAGTTTTTTACTTACAGAGAATATTGGCTTGTCTTCGTAATGGGTCGCCAAAAGGATGCTTGCCATCAGAAAGAACATAATAAAAGACACAGCCAAGAGAAAAAATATCGACCGCACATGTCGTTCTTTCTCCATTCAACATCTCTGGTGCAATCCAACCATCAGTTCCAGTGGCTCCGGATCTTCGTGAAAATGATACGCGGCCAAGTTGGAGTTTTTTACACAATCCAAAATCTGATATCATGGCACGAACCTCTCCTCGAGGTCCAGGAACAGAGAGCAAGACATTGTGAGGCTTAATGTCCCTATGAACTACGTACAAAAGATTTTAATAATCATTCTAATAACTTTCTAATAATCATTTTAATTAAATTTCTATTTATTATATAATTTAATTCTTTTCAAGAAGATAAAATAAGTTCACAGAAATTTTTATGCGAGATATTTTAGAGCTATTATTTTTCGTAGATATAGAATTCATCAACCAGCATTGATTTTTGCTTAAAAGGAAAGAACACACATCCGTCATTTTTATATTATTGACAATTTAAAATATTTTTCCTTCCTTCCCATCCTCTTCTTCTCGTTGATACATCATAAAGTTATTTGTGTTAGACGTACCGATATCCAGGAAATGAAGATGTGCTAATCCAGATGTAGCCTGATGCAAAATATTTTTCACAGATATCTTTTCTCTATCGTACTTGCCTGCCACGTAATCTTGCAAAGTGGCTTCTGCTAGCTCCAAAGCAATATATCTAAACATACGATCTTGTTCGGTACAAAAATACCTGACTACGTTTGCATGTGCGTCTGATTCTCTCAAAAGAGCTACCTCTCGGTCTGCGAACGTAAAGCAATCCGGTAATAAACGCTTTACAGCTACGGCACGACCATCAAATTCACCTCTGAACAATAAAAAAATAATTTGTTGATTGTTGATATTTGTTGATAAATGATAAGTTATGTAAAAATTAAAACAAAGATAATTAAAATAATGATAAAAATTAAAATATCATAACACTAATAAGAATTGACTGGATAATGTATAAAGAATATATTTGGAAAAGTTAATCACATATTTCAATCCTAATTTGAATCCATCTTCAATACTAAAAATAATTGCACTAAGCCGAATATAAAAATCAGAATATGATAAAACAAGTACATTATAAAACAGTAAAGAAAGGTTTGTAATGTACTCAAAGAGATAAAACATTGCGTAGTTTATCGAGAATTGAAAAAGTAAATCAATGTAAAAATAGTATTGAAGAGCCATTATGTAAAATCAATGTTAAGTCATTATGTAAAATCAATTATAAAAACAAATAAAATTACTTTAGCAATTACTTTAAAGCAATTATTATTAAAATAAAATTGATTACTAATAAGTTAAAATAATAAAAATAATAAAACTTAAAAATTTCAGTCAATAAATGAAAACTCATGACAAACTTTCAAAGCAACCAAAGATGTAAAAACAATGCCTGTAAAAACAAATGCCCATGTTACAAATATAAAAAGTAAAATAAAGAAAATATCAAATATTCTTAAAGCTATTAAATAAATGATAATAGATTGAATTTTGTATCAGTCACAAATTTAAAAAGTTTCTGGTTTTGTATATGAATCATTTCGGAAATCAGACATTTATTAAAAATTTTTTTTCATCAAGTATTCTTCTTAACAAATTCATCTATTTACATGTTTTGATAATGATGTTATTTTTCTAATCTACCTCTCTGTCTCTCTTCTATATGAAGCAATTTTTGCAATTGATTTTATCAAATAACATTAGAGTGAGATAATGAAAGCTCATTTTTTTATAGCCTATATATTTTAATAAATTTATCAAGTTTATTTAAATCTCTAGATAAATTGAAGAATTTTAAATTTCCAAATATATATTATACACTTATATCCAATCGGCTCTTATTGGCATTATTTTAATTTTTTATTTATTAGCTCTTTTAAATTTTTTTATTTTGTTTAGAATAATGATGGATGAAGAAATTTTTCTCGAATGAACAATATTATACGTTTAAGATTATATCGATAGTCTTAAATTGATAAATGTATACATATGTCCAACAAAAATATGAACGCTATAGTGTTAGATATTGTATATATAGATATAGAAAGATCACATACTTGTACACAAATGTTCCTTCGCATCCTTTACCAAGAACCTGTCCTGTATCGAATGTAATTTTTCCCACTTTAACTAAGCCATCTCCAATCTCTTCGGGCATAGCAACCGAATTACTTGATTTACCAGAATAATTCGTACGACTACTTTCGCGTGAACCCTTAATAATCAATTTTCGATTAAACTTGATTCAGATTTAATAATATAGTTATTGTTAAATATCTCATTATTATCTTTTTTCTAACTCTCTAAAATATTGTCTTACCTGTGATAATTGCTGTAATTGTTCCTTATATATCTTATACACATACCAAACTATAATCGTGCCAAGTATTAGTATAATCAAGATCACGATTAGTTTTACATCTCTGTTTTCTTGTTGATCGAACCACATTTTGCTCGCATTGTAAGTTTTTAATATAATTCTCTGCCAATTTTGATTGTTTTCTGATTGCATCGTGTCATTTGACATATCCGACTGAACAGCGATAGACAATTTGGTCTTAGTAATATTCAATGTCGAAGTCTCCAAAATTACCGGATCAGATCGTCCAGTTATTTGAAGAAGTTGATTTTGCGGTTTGTATTCCGTGGGTATCTTGTAATGACCTAAATAAATTGAAAATTACAAAAGATACAAAATATTATACAATACTATGATATATTTATTGATTTATCGATATAATATATGCACATGTAACTATAATTCGACTTGATATTACCCAACATAATAATATTTTCAGTGCGTTTAATATCATCATTAGCTATATCAATATTAGATATAAAAACATGATCCCTTGGCAATGGTACTTTGTTATCATTTTCATGAAGATGCGATGTTACCAATGGTCCCTCGAGCAATAGATGTCCTACATTACTCGATATTGTTGTCGTTGCTGAATCAACAAGCGATGGTAATGCATAAACACCATATTGGTGCTGTCCAACATACAAAGTTGGGCTAAAGAAATAATCATTTTAATCAATAAATTATTACATTTGAAATCTGGTTTGTTTTTGTAACAAAGTTTCTGCGTCTTTGAACATTTCTTACTGCTTTCTAACTTACAACAACTGAACGTCGGTCGGCTTTGTTGCAAATCTTTCTAATAAAGAATCTGCAATACTTGTAAAAGGAATTGTCAATAACCCATCTTTGGTTACAGTATACATAGCTATCACTGGGCTCTTCAGATCTAATTTCCAAACAATCCTACCTAATCTATCCAAAGTCACCACACGACCTGTTGAACTTGTGGTAAAATGTACCAAATCTGAAATTAAATTCAAGTTCACAAACAATAATTTCTAAAATGTTATTGCACATCTTGCAAAATCGAATATGGACAATACCATAATTGTCTGTCACATCAGGTTCCATTTGCATAGCAGAATAATCATAGAATGTTAAGTTCCATTTTCTGTCTTTATGCTTACTGTCGACCATAATAATGTTATATTCCGTACGACCGACAAATATAGTATTCTGCATTTCTAAAGGGCAAGTATCTTTCACTTTATGAAAACTTAAAAGCTGTTCTCTTTCACCAGTCATTGGGTCAATACTAAACCAAGTATCAATTTTTCTGCCAGTATACAATATACCATCGCTGCTTCTGCATGGGCTAGTGGCGACCAACTGAGGAATGGTAAATGGCAATTTCTTTAATACCTCTGATTCTCGGCCAAAGAGATAGAGAGAACCATCTCTAGGATCTGGTAGAAACATAGGTCTACAAATCAAAATATTTAAATAAAAATACAGAATATTTGGCTTAATAACCATGGTACTAAATATCAATTTTAGTATAAAAACATTATTATTCATGATCACCATTATTTACAAATGTCATAGAATATTGCAAATCATACACATATAGATTATCAATACTTTGGTAACTATATGTATATTAATTTATCAATATATAATATAAACTGATGCATAAATAACATACATTTTGGTTTCTGATAGATTGATAGGCACTTTGACAATAGGTTCTAAAAACAAAATATACAAATGTAATATACAAACGTAATATAAAATGCTAATGTAATTTTCCTGATATAATCTACTAAACTAAATAATTACCATCATCTTGTTGCCATCGTATTTTTCCAGATCGCTGATCAACACCTACTAACAATCCTCCGAGTGTAGAGATTAAGAGGAGAGTGTCATCTTGTTCAGCTACAAGCTCAGTATTAAAATTCTAAGAATACAAATATTATTTGAGTAAATTCAATTATGATTGTAAATAAATGCATTCTCATATATAAGAATAATAATTTTTCATGATTCAAAAACACAATATATAATAAATATACAGGATGGGAGTAACGCCGTTATCATTTTTATTACTTTTTTAGTAACAAGCGTTACATTTTTCTGTCTACAAGTTATAGTAACGTCGTTACATTTTTACAGTTACAGTAACAAATTTAAATTAAATCGTTACTTTATTATTACTTTAGTTTTATACTTTAATTTTAATTTTTTATTTTAATTTTTCCATATCAAAAGACTCCACACAATTTGTATGAAAAAAGAATGTCAATTTGTTTCAATATTGTAAATTTAATATTGTAAATTTACTATGTTTATGATAAAAAATAATTTTCTAAAAATTATAAAAATTATTTATTTTTTGATGTGAAATTATTTTATTATTATTTATTTATTATTTCATAATATATTTTTTTAATTCATATTTTTAATATTTTATATTTTAGGGTTATATTCCGATAATCACTGCCAATACTAAAAGTCTATAAATCACATTATATACTACTGTACTACTAAGTATTCAGTCCTGACGATGAATGTATATTTAATAATGATATTAATTTCTAGAAACAATGTTGAATCTAAATTTTTATAAAAGTTAATATACTAAAAAATATTAATATAAATTTAAAAAATTATTAAACGTATCTAAAATAAAAAGATTGTTTTATACAGATTAGTTTGAAAATTTTCATGTTTCAATATTTATTATTATATATAATATTAATTATTAAATAATGTAATTTTAATATCTAATAATCTATTTTAACCTTATAAAAAAAATAACAAAAAGTAACAAATCCGTTACTTTCTAAGTAATGTGTTACTTTCAAAAATCAGTAATAACAAAGTAACGATAACGAATTATTTTTTACAAAAAATAATGGTAATAAGTTATTTTTTTCAAAGTAATGTTCCCAATCCTGTAAATATATAAAGTAAAAGTTTGACTTTAAAATAATTTTTTGTTCATGTTACAAAGATAAATCTATTAAAAAGTAAAATTTGTTTCTATGAAATCTATCTAACAAAAGAAATTATATTACATACATCTACTATTTGTCCTCTGACGAATGCAAGCATTGTTAGAATAACAAGTGCCCAAACTGTCATCATCCTTTGCATCATGAAAAATCTCTATGTATTCTTGATCATACAGTATACGAGCACGAATGAATTTTTCCCGGCATAAGTTGCTGGGCTCCATACAACAGTGATGCATCAGTTTAGAATTGAAGACGCATCAGTTTAGAATCGAAGCAAGGTAGGTTATTTAAGATGATCAATTATGAACACCAAATTCTCGCTCATCAACACGACTGTCGTGCAAACCTGTTCGAGATATAACAAAGATTACATTCTTGTGTTAATCTATAAAATAGTGGCACTTTTTATTTTTGGTCAAAAATGCACAAAGTCTGATAAACATTAGTGTCTTATAAAAAGATGTCATCGTTGGACAGAAACACAGTTTAATTACGCTGTTCGTACATGACGACGAGCGATTAATCACACGATTGTATCCGAAGTGATATAATCAGAAAAAGTATTTTATTTTTTTTCCTTTGATTATTTATTACAATATATTTAATCTCCAGGAAATCTAAACGATTCAGTCTCAGAGGTATATTGTATATCTAATGACGATTCGTGTAATTTTTCTTATGGACACGTGTCTCATATATGTATATATATATATATATATATATATATATATATATATATATATATATATATATATATATATATATATATAACGTACATATGCAATACGGCATGCCATATGCCACAAGTGAATTCAGCAAAATGAATCATCGAGAAAGAGGAAGAGAGTCCCCATATTATAATATTCATATCTAAAGTGACTAAAGCTGGATGTACAATGAAAACACAGGTAATAGGAACAGGGAACAGGCAACAGATTTTGACCAATCAGAAATATCTCCGATATTCTTCAAAACTTCTGATTGGTCAAAATCTGTTGCCTGTTGCTATTCCCTGTTCCTGTTTCCTGTATCAAAGAGGAACCTGGGGATCAACATGTAACTTTACGTGAAATTTTTCACTTTTCATTTTCCACTTTTTATTTTTCATTTTTCACACCTTGACATTTCATGTGAAACTTTTCACGTACAGCGATTATGTATGTAGCTTGAATGCGTGGAAAGTGAAATCATGAAATATAGTTTCATAGGTTAGTTTCATAGATTAGTTTCATAGGTTTTATAGCTAATGAAAATTATTTTATTGGTACAGTATTATATACATTTTTTAATAACCAATTGTATATGTACTATGTACACTTAATCCTAAGTGTCAGTCCACAATAGGTGATATAAGCTTTAAGACGTAAGAAATTGACCAATTATAATCGAATATGAAAAGAATAATTGATTATGATTGGTCAATTTCTTATGGCTTAAAGTTTAAATACTTATTGTGGACTGACACTAACGCAGCATTAATCTTCTCTAATTCCGAAGCATATTTATTAATTCCCTAGATTTCCGCCTTTCCGCCACCAAGGTACATGGCGAAAAAGTTCACGCGAAAAATTTCATATTTTCACGTTTGAGAGAGTTACATGATCCCGCAAAATCGTACATGATCGTAAGTTCACGTGAAACTTTTCACTTTTCACTTTTCACGTTTCCACCCTAGGGGAAAAGTTACATGATCGACCCTCTGAGAACGGCTACGCTGATCTTTTTTCTGACATGATCGAACTCGCCGTACACTACGCTATCAATGTCTATAATTGAACCGTGGAACTACAAGTCACATCTATTTTGCGACACTGCCGATAAAATCATATATACATCTCGTGAAATAGATGTGGTGCGAGTTCATCGACAAATTGTAGGTGAGAATGTATATATAATTATATATATATATATATATTTACGTCGCGTTTATTTTTCTTCCATTATAGACTAAAGTATTGATTAAATTAGTAGTATAATAGGCCGATTCTAAATCACTATGTGTTAGTGAGTATACATATATATGTCGTGTGTCCGCGCGCGTGCGTGCGTGCGTGCGTGCGTGCGTGCGTGTGTGTGTGTGTGTGTGTGTGTGTGTGTGTGTGTGTGTGTGCGCGCGCGCGCGCGCGCGCGC